TATATATATATATATATATCAATTTCCAATCAGTGACTCAGTACCATACAAGGCCAATCCAGCCCAGAGGTAAAGTTATCCCAAAATATAAATGACTCGGACAAGATCCATATCCAGGGAAAAGTCATCACAATCATAAATAAATAAGGCAAGTCCCTGCACTGGGAAGTCCATCCCGAACATATATAAATAAGTAAGGCAAGTCCATGCCCTAGGAAGTCCATCCCGAACATATATAAATAAGTAAGGCAAGTCCATGCCCTAGGAAGTCCATCCCGAATATAAATCATCTACGCTCATTGTGGGGGGTGCAGACTCCGGAGGGCCTCCTTTAGCCCAACCGTGATATAAAGCCGATATGGACTGCTGTAGGCGGGCAACCCCGATCCATATAATAATAAAGCCTGTAAGGCCTGCTGCAAGTGGGCAGCCCCGATCCACATAATAATAATAATAATATATATAAAGCCGATATGGCTTGCTGCGATGCACAGCTCGATCCCATAAATATCCTCATAATGGATGAACATGACTGAGTATGAAATATATATTTTTTTTAAACAATTAAATTCAACAGAAACACGACTCTATCATCCCAAAATATCGGCACGTAGCCTAAACATGATCTTTAATACAAGTCTCAGCTCAATTCCTCTAACACGAGGAGAATATGCGGATAATAATATGATTCTTCAATTTTACAACTCCCCAGAATTTATTTAAGTCACAATTTCTATGGTGCACGCCCACATGATCGTCAAGTAGCATGTGTGTCACCCCCAACAATTCACATCACACGTAATTCACGGATTTATACCCTCAGAACCAAGTTTAGAAGTGTTGCTTACCTCAAACCGTGTAATTCTTTACTCCGCTATGCATTTGCCTCGCGAATTGGCCTCCCAAAACCTCATATCTAGTCACAATTAATTTGATTCAGCCAATACAATTATTGAAATTAATTTCATATGAAAATACTAATTTTCCAACAAAATCTAAAATTTAACTCAAAAATCGCTCAAAACCCGACAACAATTATAAAATATGAACGCCCATTCAACCACGAGTCCAACCATACCAAATTTACCAAATTTCGATATCAACTCGACCTTCAAATCTTATTTTCAAATCCCTAGACCCCAAATCCTCGAATTTCACCTCAAAAATATGTAATCTAGTCGAATTACTCAATAATAATTTAAAATTATTGACTAACAATGATCACAAAGGGACTTACCTCAAGTTTTTCCGTGAATTCTCGCTCAAAAATTGCCTCAACCCGTGTTCTTTCGCCCAAAAATATTGAAATGAGCTAAAAAAAAAAAAACTTCTCAATAAAAACACTAATCTGGCCGCTAAAAGGCCTTTTTCCCGTCACTAAAAGTCCATTTTCTGTCACTAAAGGTCCGCACCAGAACCTGCTTGCACCAATAATTTATTTATTCACTAAAAAGGCTCTTAACTCCATCATATGAACTCGGAATTCGACGATTCTTGTTCCTATGAGTCACAAATAATAATACGAACCTAGTCGTTCAATCGGAACTCAATTAGCTCATTTGCTCAATGCGATATCAATTTCGCTCGTTAAACAATTAACTCATGTTTCGCGCTAAAAACCCAATCGCGAGTTGATGAAATTAGACCAAATATTCCAGATCATTCCTATAATTCATCATCAAACTCTCGGAAGTCTCAAAATCAAATTTCGATCTCTAGA